TACTTAACTGCCCATGTTGACTACAATTAGAAATCTTTTAGATTGCACTCGACGATACATGCATGCAGGAAGTAACCCTATGAACATCACGGACAAAGAAAGAGGACAAAATATACAGTTCCTCATTCTACCCTCAACAAAAGAACATCCCTTCACTGCTATTATGTAAAAATGTGTAGAAGAGGTGAATATGCATGTGACACCTGTTCTACACATTTTTACATAATAGCAGGGAAGGGATGTTCCTTTGTCTACCTGAGGAACTGCATATTTTATGCGCTCGCGGCATACTAGTACCTTGAGCATGTAAAGGCGCTATACAAATACCAATATGTATGTATGTATGTACTAGATTTAGGAAAATCAAGGTTGACGCATTCTCGATCGCCGACTGAGACGACGTAACGCATGCGCAGTGCCTTAAAATGACGTCACACGTTGCAGTCAAAGATGTCGACGTGCAAATCTAAAAGTCCTTATTGACAACTGAATTACGTAAGGGTATCTGCAAATTACAAAACATCATGAAAATCAGTTTCTTCAACGAAACAATGTATAAGGCCAACAAAAACAACACATGCACGCTCAAATACGAAAACAACATTTCAAAATTCATGAGTTCTTCATCTCCTACGTGGAATATATATGCATAATGAAGACACTATCCGACGGAGTTACTAAGGAAAAAAGAATCTCAATAACAATCAGTATCATCTCATTGGTTGTAAATATTAAAAGTAAATCTCACTATTAAATACGCTGATGTTACAGGGTAAAGACCCAGGATGAGCTATCACAATAGGGCATGTCCACGTACACATGAAAAATCTTCACCAGTATCTCAAAATGAAACTAAATTTGATCCTTTAATTCAAGTCATTTAATCCCGCATTTGAGAACAAAGTTTAAAATGATATTAATCACAAAAAGTACACGTCTTCATTACGTTGAACTTTGCAGATGGACAAGCTCTTGTAGTACGTCATTGTGCAAAATCTACCATTAAAGAAGTAAAAGTTGCTCCCATAACTCAATTCATTTCCGCATTCAAGAAAAGTGCATATCCACATCGCATTAGATACTGACGTGAAAAAGAAAAATTGTATTTCCTAGGCCCTCCTGAATTTATAAACTGAAAGTTCTCCCATCATTCATTCCTTCAATTCCGCATTCGCATGAAAGCTCAAATGATACATAAAGCAGACAGACGAGTTTTTTTTACTTTTAAATATTTTCTTTTGTAGTATTTCATAGTTGCATCTCCCATTGCGGAGGCAAAGTTTTTCTTTCCATGATCGAATTCTTTCATTCCCACATTCATGAAAAGTCTATATATCGATAAAACCATTCAGAAGTATAGAATGCGTTTCATCCGCTTCACGTAATGATGGTTGAAATTGCAGATAATGCTTCTTTTGACGATAATTTACCGATAAAGCAGTTTTTTCTTCCTTACTTAAACCCATTATGCCGATCAAACGGCCGGAAGAAATTACCCATAATGTTGCGATAATGTTTCCTGAAGATATAATAAATGCTTTTGACCATGAATGAGGGGAATAGATGGTCGTTATTAAGATCTTGATTTTGTATTTTATTTATCAATGAAATGATTATTTGGTAGACTTAGATGCATGATGGATGGTAATATAAGCTTGGGTGAGGGGGGGGGGGCGGGGTGTGACCCTTTAAAACATTCTTTTAATATGTAATGCCTTCACTTATTTGCATTTCATCAAGAGAGCGCCACAGCCTCCCCTGCTCACCTGAAACGTACGCTGCGCCACCGAGTCACAGAGATGGAGATATTGAAAGAGAGAGAGAGAGAGAGATAAAGCAAGAGAGAGAGGGAAAGAGAGAGAGAGATAAAGCAAGAGAGAGGGAAAGAGAGAGAGAGAGAGAGGTAGATAGGGGACACACATCCAACATCGCCCTTCGTAATGCGGGTTTTTCTTTTTCTTGTTGGTTAGTGTAGTGCCCCGTGAGGCTCGAACCTACGGCCTGCGCATCTCCAATCGTGTGTTTAAAGGGGGTGTAGCATGGCAAATACTGGTTAACGCCACCTACGACTTCTTTTGGACAACTGCACGTAAACAAATGGACTTGATTAACGGTTAGCGCGCGTTCTTCTCACGCTTCGGTATCGCGTATGTTGCACGCACGTGAATACGGCCGTAGGCGTACACCCGATTGGCCCCGAGTCAGGCCACAAGAAAGACACGTAGTCTTGCTATGCTACACCCCCTTTAAGCCGCTCGATTACTATTTCTCTCGGAAATAATGTCTTAGCGCACAGTTTTCTTCAAGCTCTTCTTCGATATCACCTGTATTAGCTCTCTGATATTTCTTTCTAGAACGCAGACAGAGACGTGTCATTATCTTAAATATGCTGATCGAGGTCCCGGATATTGTCTTGTCCGATTTGATGGAACATTCCTCGTTAAGACGCTGAAGAGCTTTGGCTCTTGAGAAATCATCATCGCCACGGATCCGTCAAACATGCCGTATTGTCCTTGATCTTTGGTTGCCTAGCTCTCCACCTGTGGTTCGAGGTGTGTTTGGAAGTAGCATCGTGACATCCTAGTTCATCATCATCATTACTTGTCTTCCTCTTCTCCTCCATCCATTTTTTGTTCACCCCCCCCCCCCTTTCTCTCTCTCTAGATATAATTATATATAAATATATATCCACATATGTATTTCTCTCTCACACTCTCCCTAAGCAACACATCCCCCTACACACACACGCACCCAAGCACACACACACACACACACACACACACACAAGCATACACACACATGCACACGTCTAATTATACTACTAACTCAGCCCGCCCCCCCCCCCCAAAAAAAAAAAAAAAAAAAAAAAAAAAAAAAAATTACATCCCACAAAACAAAAACATGATATCGATGCAAAGAGATCAAACTTATATATATGGTTAAGGGGAGGGGCATTTTTTTTGAAAACTCACGGAGTAATATTGTGCATTTCAAAATCAATACATATTGCCCCATCTTTTCCTAAAGCTTGGCTTTACACCTTGTTACCTTACCCATATTTACACTATAGTATAAATCCCAGGAGAAAAGAAAGAAAATAGAAACCGTTTCACTTTTACATCCAAATTCCTAACAAAGGGTATACTTTTCTGCCAAAATAAGTCTTATAACTGGGTATAGGTTCGGATGTTTCAGTTGCACACCCCTGTCCGAAGTCCAAACAAAATCTGAGTACATCCTACTTCCCCTACTCGATCAGAGGGCAAAAAACTGCGTTCTTCTCTCACCTGTACTTTAATTCCAAATGAGGTGTAACAGTGATACCTGTGAGACCGCTCAAGGGACACAATAAAAGTTGCCATTAAGTACAGGTTCCTTTAGTAGATGTTTTATGTTTAACAGAATTAACACTACACAAAGGATTCAGTTGCGTAATGTAAAGAGTATAATCATCCTCAATTAAAAAAAAATCGTAGCATCGTTAATACGCTCACAAAGACTTTCGAGAAGAAAAAAATCAAATTGATGGCAATTTAAATACGTTATTGTTTATCGTGTAGACGTCACGTTCAGATTACCCCATACTTCCTTGTAGTGTTTGAGCATATCCAAATGTGATGTATAGGGCCAAATTGAAATTACATTAAGTTGATTTTTCAAAACTAGTTGCGATCATAGCAGTTGATGATGAAGCCTCACATGTCCACAGTATCTTCAAATGTTTAAATTCATTGATTATATAACATTTTTTCCCCGGAATTTTATGAGGGGCGAACTGATCGAAGCCTACAAACTTCTGAGGGTCGAGACAGGCTACATAAATATTTCGTGATGTGTGAAACTTGTTTTTGAAACTGTAGCGCTGAATCTGTCCATAGGATGAGGAAACGATGGAACTTCATTCAAAGAAATGTTTTGAATATTTTAGGAACGTTTAATAAAAAAAGAAAGTAAATCTATCTTATCCATTTCTTGTTGCTTACATACGTAATGGCATTGCATCTATGAAGTACATTCATGTAGGTTTAATATAATAATGTTCTTTCTGCTTTTTATTTGTTGCTAGTCATGCTAGTTATTAAATGGTTTAGTATGGGAAATAGTTTACGAAGTGGGCTTTGAAAGATAATTAAATTGTGCCTGTAAATAATACCCGCAAAAATGAACTGAACATGAAGTCGATTTATTCAGATATAAATGTCAATTTAATTATCAGATGTCGTTTTCTTTAATTTTTGGCAAGGACGGATACACAAGAAATAATATCTACGTATTTCAGGCATACAATGAAATACATAGGCCTATAGTTTTGTATCGATGTAAATGTTTCTTCGGGGTATATTATCCTGGCAAGTTAATTGTATGATTGTGTTTGTCTTTATTTCCGGGTGCATGCCGCTCTAATGGGTTACTTTTTCACAAAAAAGCCCTAAACGTGGGTCCAAATTTACAAAAATATCACTTAACATGGGTCCATTTTTCCAAAATTTCCAATTTTTCGAGTTCTTGCGTGGTGAACACCCCCGCCCATACCAAATCTGGGTACAGATGGGGGGGGGGGGATACAACATGTACGCTGAAATCCACAGAAAAAAAAGCGCAATATCCAATGTTTACAACTGCGACGAGCGCAATGCATGATGGGATCGTGTCTTCCCTCTTACGTCACAGCCCTTAGACCGAAAACGATGGCTTTCACATTCTCACTTCGAGTCGCTCGTGTAGGATTGTTTAAATGAATGTTTTTAGCGTCAATTGCGTTTTCAAGACAATAATTGAATTAAATCTTGTTTATGAAGTGTCAAAATGGCATAATATGCTAAATTTGTTGAATTTCATTGATTGTAATGTTTTTCTTACACACCACTTTGAACTTTAAACTTTGGACTTTGTTTCGAATAAGTGGATCCGTTTCCGGTCAGCTGCTGATTGCCGCATATTTCACAAGAACTCCTTTTCCTTTTCACTTTCAATTTCCTTTCATTTGTATAGATTCAAACAGGACACTGTAATACTACATCGCTGTTTAATGGTGAAAAGTCCTCATCACAACGGGATAATACAGCAGATTGTTCGTAAGTAATATCAATCAGAAATATTTTTTTAATTATTTTAACACAAAATTTGGAACATAGGACGTTAGACGAGTAATGTCTGTCTTCCCTGTTATTTCATTTTAAAGAAGTGACGAGTTAAGGACGCGCTACAATACGAATGCCATGATCAAAGTGTATATCACATGACTTTATTCATATTTGCCTGATTAAGTATGAATATATCATCACAATGCAGTGACAAGCAATCATTATAGAAGACACAATAATAGAATAAAAAATAATTGAAATAACAAGGTGATGGGAAATGCTTGATATTTTATTCAAGGTTATGTTTCCGCTTCCCTACTTATTTTCCCTACAGCCCTTGCTAACGTGTTTGACTCTCTTTCTTTTCTGATCCGGTTCTCTATTATGTTTTATCCTAAAGGCGTATCTCTTATTTTATTTTTTATTATTGTTAATGAAGGTTACCGTTGCTACCATTTGCACCTCATCATGGCGTCCAGGTTCCCGGCAGAGAGAGATGGAAAGGTCAAGCTAAGTACTAGGAAAGGTCATGACATGACATGGTCATGTGACATACACGGTGAGCCAATCAAATTTTATTGTAAACAACACGAGATCCCTCTTTGTCATCCATGTGCGACCAAAGATCACCAGAAACCATGTCACCTCGTCAATATCGGAGATGTCATCTTAGAACTGGTCAGGAAGCTCGATGAAAAACGGCTTGAAATAGAAGAAATGAAACAGCACTTACAGAATCTTGAATCTAAAATACAAACTTGTTCAGCTTTTGCAAGTAACCACTTTAAGGCTATCGATGGTACGGTAAACGCTTCGTTCGAGAGTAAAATGGAGAGCGCGAAAGACAAGAAAGGGGATGAAATTCGTTCGATAAACGTTGAGGCGGATGAGGAGATACGTCTGATCAATGAGAGGAGGCAAAAACGGATCAAATCATGTAACGAAGAAGCCGGACAGCAACATCTTACCATCAAAAAGTGCCGAGCAAAGGTCGAATCAGAGACAAAGGCAATCAGCGAGGTGGTTTCTAAAAAGATAAAAGATCTTAAAAGTACAGATCAGCATGCAATCAGCATTATGGATAATATTGACGCCAGGATCAAACGGATCAAACAAAATGACGAAACATTAGTGAATGAAGGTCCTAAAGTACTTGCATCCCTAGATGACAAAATAAACTCAATTGTTCATCAAGATGTTATCGACTGTCTTGACCGGATTGAGCGGGAAGTCCAGCGAACGAAATTTGTCGAGGGGGAAATAGGTGGGGAGCACTACGGTAGAATTGATGGCTTTATCGGTAAATGGGAGCTTGTTAAGTCAATCCACATTTCATCGATTGTTAATGTACCAGCGGTGTGTGGTTTGATCAGGGATGATGAGATATGTGTGGTGGAAGTAGGCAGCACTCCCACACCCGGTGCCGCATACGTTACAAATATCAGCACTGAACACACATATAAAGTCAATTTAGGCAATAGTAAGGCGAGCATTTCATCATGCGCCCCCATAGGCAGCAACCTAATAGTATGTGGTAAGTGGAGACTTGGCTACACGGGTGACAGCTTGGATGGACGTATCACTCTCTATAACAGACAATGGAAGGTGATTAGTGACATCACCATATCGAGGAATAACCTCTTTACTCATGTATTCGTTGATGTTGACAGGGTTGGGATGATCCTCGCTGCTCAGATCAAGCAGTCTAATGTCTACGTCATCAATCCTTCTGATGGTAAGATAGTTAGCACTATTACGATGCAGGGCAAGGAGGTGTGGGGTACAATACAAGCCTTGTCGTCAGGTGATATCGTTGTGAAGACAGGTTATGATAAATTCAGTGTCATCTCACGATCAGGAGAAGAGAAGGCAGTCATACAATCTGATGAGTGGCGCGCATCATCGGTTGGCGCGACACTGTGTCACGTTGACAAACTGACAGACACACTCTACATCACATACTGGGATAGAGAGCATAGTATCTACGCAGTTGATCAGGTGTCATGTGATGGCACCATCCATGCAAGGAGGATTGTGTCGTACAAGGAATCACGCCCATGCTCCCTCAACAGCCCTTGCCTCGTAACTTCTTCTGGCAACCTTGTAGGCTTTGACGGAGACAAGCTTCTTGTGTACAAGAAGGGATTTGTTGTATAAGTCAATAGGAGATATAGATGAAATCCCTTATGCCTTGTATAAGTCAATATGAGAAACAGATGAAATTCATTATGCCTTCTATAAGTCAATATGAGAAATAGATGAAATTCCTTATGCCTTGTATAAGTCAATATGAGAAACAGATGAAATTCCTTATGCCTTGTATAAGTCAATATGAGAAATAGATGAAATTCCTTATGCCTTGTATAAGTCAATAGGAGAAATAGATGAAATTCCTTATGCCTTGTATAAGTCAATATGAGAAATAGATGAAATTCCTTATGCCTATTATAAGTCAATATGAGAAATAGATGAAATTCCTTATGCCTTGTATAAGTCAATAGGAGAAATAGATGGAAATCCTTATGCATTGCAGACCTATCAAGCCTTAACGAAATGTAGGCTTTTCCGATTGGTCATATAATTCAGTTGAAGTAAAGGCATATGTATTTCTCACGAAGGAATTTGATAGTATAAACTAACGGATTATTTCTGCTTTATATTACTTTGAAATCTGGCTGGCATCTTAGGAGTTGCTACCACCGTACCCGATATAAAGTGAATAGAAAATAAAAAATAAAAATACATGATAATTAATTGTTCAATATAATAATGGAAATTAGAATCACAATAATGTACACATTACTGTAATAATTGAACAACGCGTTTTGGAGAGTATTTCTGGGCTACAGAATGTTTGAGAAAAAAACAGCTGAACCTCAATATATTATTTAGGCTGGTAATCCCTTTTTTCGATGGATTTAGAGTTAACGAAATAGTTTTTTCAAGTATTCACATGGACCAATATTCGAATGGATAAGATTATAAATAAGCTCTGATTGGGAAATGACAACTCATTCTAACTTTCAAAAATAAAACGATATAGATATTTCCTTCCGGTGCTACACAATATTTCTAGATCGATACGAAGTCGTCATATTTAATATTATTATAAATATATTTTTGATTTATACTTTATGCTAGGTAAACTTTATGATTCTAATTCTTTTATTGTAAAGGCATGTAAATTCACGATACTTTGTATTATGTATACTAATAAAATATAGATTTACAGGCAATTCAGTAAACTTTATTATCGTTTGCATCTATATCAAATCGCACATAAGTAGGCATATAAAGTTGGTCTATTTTTTGTTTGCATACCGCTGTCAAACATCTTTCCAAGCTAAAAACAACACACGGCCTTTTGTAATCTCATCAGTTCTGAAGACGTATTATTCGTTTCTCTTCTTTAGTGTGTGCTTTTCTCTTTCATCCCTCAATGAGTTGTACATACAAGTATTACTTTTTTGTTATATCATTACCCACAATATGGGCTCTCTTTTTAACCAAAATCTTGTTATCAATAATGTTAGGGCTATTTGTTCGAAATACTGTATGTTTTTTCCTAGGTATGGTATTCAATTTGACGTTATTTTCAATTATCTTAGCTGTACAGTATTCTTTAAAATGTTTAACTGTATTACGTTTGCTTTTATTTTGTCATGAGTGTACATTTTACAACATAATTTCAACATTATGAAACAATGATATACAGGCGCGTACGCAGGATTTTCTAAAGGGGGGGGGGGGTTAACATTTATAAATCGGGCCGAAAATTTCGCAACGACTCAGCCAGCCGCTGAATAAGCGGGGGGGGGGGGGGGGGGGGGGGGGTAAGAGGACACTTTTTTTTTGGTCCAAAAAAATCGCAACGACTCAGCCGACCGCTGAATAAGCGGGGGGGGGGGGAGGGGGAGGGGGAGGGGGGAGGGGGGGAGGGGGGGGGGGGGGGGTAAGAGGACACTTTCTTCTTTTTTTGGTCTCGAACTTTGAAAATTTGACATTTTGCTCCGTTGGGGGGGGGGGTAAGGTCAGCTTTTTAGGTCAGCCATGGGAATATATATATATATATATATATTTTTTTTTTTTTTAATAAATAAAAAAAAAAAAAAAAATCCGAAGGGGGGGGGGGTTAGAGGGGTTTTGGGGGGTTTACACACAGGAAAATACCAAAGGGGGGGTTTAACCCCCCAACCCCGCCCCCCCCCTCCATGTACGCGCCTGATGATATATGATATTCTTTGAAATGAAAGTATGCCTTTACGTTTATTTCAACTGTAATGCTTTGTCAGATAAAGAAATTATTTGATATTATCCGAATATCGTTTTGTTTATTTATTCAAAAATATCACTTGTCAAAACTGTAAAGATTAGTTTCTAAGCGTTGACAAAACACTACAAGGGGGTAAGCGGACACTTTTTTTTTTTTTTGGTAGTCCAAAAAAAAATGGCAACGACTCAGCCAACCGAAAAGTCGCTCAGTGGGGGGGGGGGGGGGGGGGGGGTAAGCGGACACCTTTTTTTTTTTTGGTAGTCCAAAAAAAAATCGCAACGACTCAGCCAACCAAAAAGTCGCTCAGTGGGGGGGGGGGGGGGGGTAAGAGGACACTTTTTTTTTTTGGTAAAAAAAAAAAAAAAATCCAAAAGGGGGGGGGGTTTAGGGAAATTTAGGGGGGGTTTACACACAAAAAATTACCAAATGGGGGGGTTTAACCCCCCCCCCCTGTGTACGCGCCTGCGATACATCATCATCTAAGGCATCATCATTATCATCACCTCAATCGTCGTACTATCAGGAACTGTTAGCATAACATCAGGATGATCACCGTGCTTTGTCCGAATCAATTTTAAATTTCTATTGTGCTCGCTAGCTACAGACTTATTGCTACTATAGTAGCTCAGGGATTGCTCAAAACACCAGGCGTTTTCGTTTACAAGGTACACCATTTTAGTGAACCTTCAATCAAAACTGACAAGTCAAAAGCTTTTAAATAATAAAAGAAGGCTAGGTATAGTATGAATAGTCATTCACTTGTAATGTGTGAAAAATCATACAGGACACGAGTACTGATAAGCTTTGTTTACGATACAACCGCATTTTAATATCAATGCAAGTCTTAATGCAAAATATGTACGTCAAAGTTAATAAATCAGAAACAGAACGATACTCATGATATGATAATTGAAATTAAAGGTGAGATAAACTTGTAAATGTCCACTTTATTTTTTCTAAATTGAATTGAATTTATTAACCATAAAAGCAAAACATTCATTAGAAAGAAGAATACTTAAAAATAACAAAATACAAAGCAAATATATGGTCAGGACCATATACCAAATAGGGCCCCCACAAAAAAGGAGACAATATAATCGAGTCACCATACCCACACACGATCACATACACAAAATCACACACACGCACAACCCTCCACGCTTACTTTCTTTCTCGCTCTGTCTTTCTTGCTCCTCTTTTAGACAGACTGTGCTAATTTTTAGTTACCACGCCCTCTTCCCTCCCTCTCCCCATCTCTGTCACAATTAACCCCATTATCTCTTTATCACGCCATAGAAACAATGCAACACCTTATCCGCGTTGACACTGTCCCACGACGACTGGTATGGATAGAATTATGCAAGATCATATCATAAATTATGTACAGAATAACACGTTCCCGCGGCATGCAGAAGATATAAAGTGGGTTCCGGTTGGATGTGGTTTTATTTTGGAATAAAGACGAAAATTGGACTAGTGTCATCCCTCGTCGCTTCTGTACTACACCTTCTTCTCCTCCTTCGTTTTCATGGTCTTCTTCTTTTACTTCTTCTTTCTCCTCTTCAACTCTTTAGTTGCTTTTTTCCCATTCTTCTTCTTCATCTCATTATTGATCATCATTAGCACCAGCATCATCATCAACCTTCCCCTTTCTCTCCTCTCTCTCTCTCTCTCTCTCTCTCTCTGAAATATGATAAATCCCTCGAGGTGAGGTGAATAAATGAGTCTTACTTGAGTAGTACCGGTACAGGAAAAAAAATTCCCTGAAACTAAGATGAGGAAAATGAAGACCAAACGTGACCAGAATATGCATCACAGTTCATCATAAGTGATGGCAAGACCTTGCACATTTCCCGTTACACTTCATCGAGATATATCGTATCATTATTGTTGTTTGTAATTAATTATTTCCATGTATTAGGCATAATTATCATTTCTAATTCTGCCCTATCTCTATATCCTTCTTTTCTAAGCGCATAGGGCCCTTTTGGTGTTAGTGATATGTGCTAAACATGTAACGTTCATTATTAGTATTATTATCATCATATACCTTACTGTCACGCCAAGTTCCTCTTTACAATTATGTTTATGACGTTTTTTAAAAATATATATGGGCCTATATAATGCAGCACAAGATTCAAGTATTTCCATTTAAGTGTCGAACCACACTCTCGTTCAAGCGTTATAGTAAACAAAAAAAAATATTCAGATGTCATGTGATTATCGATAAACGGGCAAATGTTATTTTGCCAAGGTGCCTGACGTCTATGCCCTCTAAATTTTGCGAGAGAGCAAAGCGAGCAACAAAACGAGTACAGGCACTATCGTATATAGTGAGAAATTTATTTCGTAATAAAAATATAGTAGATCTATTTATTATGGGTTGCGATTGATTCAAATCACTCCCAATTCAAAACTAATCGCAACTGTATGTACTTAAGAAATGGTAGTTGCAATTAATTTCAAGTTGCGATTGATTCGAATCACTCGCAGCTCTTTATAAGACTGGGTCCTGATATAAAACTAATAATTTGGCTACCCAAATAAATACTGCTGCTACTGAATGTTAGTATTTGTTGTGAGTGGGTGGGGGATTTTACCGGCCTCCCCGCCTTCTTCGTTCACCTACGTTTTCAAATTTAAGTAATGCATGAACTGCAGTCATTTTTTATAATGAAATTATTTATCTGGAACATTAGAAATTATAAGAGAGAGATATTACGGTTCTCATATGTTTATTTGGGTCGATCTACATTTTTACATGGGACAACTCTAAAGTAAATTGGGTTGTCATCATAATCAAATTAATGTAACGCCTCAATATGAGTAAATAGTAAAGAGACACGACAGCTCTCGTTGGGTCTCTATGTTTAGTTCAGTTGGG